TAAAAAGTGAAGTAACAGTCCGCTTGTCTTCAAATTTCACAAATCCCAATATTTTTATTAACCCAAGGTCTGGGTCAAACTATATCCATGAAGATCGTAAAACGTGAAATTTAAATGCGATTCCATTCAGACTTGCCGCATCTCAAAATTTCTATCAATACAAGATCTGTTGTAAAGATGGTAGAGATCGGACCATTAATTCTTGTCACAAAGGGTCAAAGTTCTGAATAACCAAAGCGATTATAAAATATGAAATAAGAAATCCGGTTTTATTCATATTTCACACATCCCATTATTTCTACTAACACAAGATCTGCTGTGGAGATGGGATATATCGGTCAACTCCTTCTGGTACCTCCCCAACAAAGGGTCATAAATTTGAATACCCTGAAAAGGTCATAAGACGCGAAATTAACATCCGATTAAATTCAGACTTGGTACATCAAAATATTTGTAGCAACTCAAGATCTGCTACAAAGATGGTAGAAATCGGGCAATTTATTGTGGTACATTCACCCCAAATAGGGTTCAAGGTTTTTTCTTGCGAAACATGTCAGCGATTCTTTACAACTTGCTGTATCTAAATATCTCTCTCATCCAGAAACCAGAGATGAATATGGAATTTATAATTTCGCATAAAATGGGGAATAAATGTTCGATTCACTTGTAATTTTGCCCATACAAATATTTTTATCGGAATAAGATGAAGCATGAACATGGAAAACTTCGGTCAAACATATTTTGTACCTCAGGCACATCTTAATATTTTTTAAAAATTATCACGTATCTCATATAAAGTGAAGGAAGTAACCAGGTTTGGGCACATCACAATATTTATATCAAATTATTTAGGTCCGATACGAAATGGACAACATTGGCCTATCCCTTCGGAACATACTCCATAGAGGGTTAACAATTTGAATATTGATAGCAGAAGTCAAAAAAATATTTAAATAATCGAACATTGAGATGAAAAAACTGCAACCAACTTCAAACTGCTGTCATTTCTAAGGCCCTGGTCCGATTGATTTAAAAATTAAAAATAGACTCAAAAGAGCTAAAGAGTTGCTTCGCTTGGCTGAAAGTGGTGAACTGACGAATTTGGCTTTCTCCGATGAGGAAACATTCGTTGTCCTGCAGTTTGTAAACAATCAAAATGATCGTGCCGTACTTGCCGCTGAAAATGTGCACCTTCGGTTGGCCACCAGAACTCAAGCGCCGGTCATGATGATGGTGTGGGCCGCCATAACAGCCGATGGTCGCTCTCCGTTCGTATTAATCGACCGTAGCATCAGAATAAATGCCGAATATTATCGCGAAAATATTCTGAAGGGTGGATTAAAGCCTTGGGCATGCAAACATTTTGGCCGCAGACCTTGGGCATTACAACAGGACTCAACACCATCGCACTCAGCACGCGCCACCCAAGAATGGTTACAAAATGAATCAAGGATTGGCACTAAAAAATGCCCAAATGTCGATCACCTCAAGCAAGCGCTTCGCGGGAAAGGGCCAAAACACCGCAGATCAACATTCGGGTAGCGTGTGACGGTATCACTGGCCGTTTAAAGGTCATAATTCATATGCCAAAAGTGACCAATTTGAATAAATTTAAACTTATTTTAAAAGTTGATGCTATTTCCAATATTTGTTGCTTTCATTCAAAAAAAAAAAATAAAAAAAAACAAGCAAAAAAGCTGTAAGTTCAGCCGAGCCGAACTTTGAATACCCTCCACCATTGGGTACGAATTTGGAAATTTTCAAAAAAAAAAAAATAAATCTGTTAAAAAAATCCTTTAAAACCTTAAAAATACCAAAAGTAGCCGTATATTAGGGTCTATACGACCCCGTGGACCTGCATAGGTAAAAATGCGAGACTTGAAAAAAATCTGTTAAGAAAAATATAGGGAGGTACCATGGGGGTTATAAAACGTGAACCTGCACAGACAATTTCCTGCCATAGGCTGTAGTATTCATTACAAACTTCAAATACCAAATTTGAAATAGTTCCGGTAAATAATGTCGCTAGAACCATCAAAATACTGAATATCGGGGGGTACCGTTATATGGGGGCTATACGAAGACGTGGACCTACATGGCCCATTTTCAATACCAAAAGTTCTGCAGACATAATACACATTTGAGTAAATTTTCATCAACTTACTTCATTTCGTTCGGAAGCTATACACAGAATTTTACTGTGGTACAGGGTATTATGTATTTGTGCATTTGTTTGTAACGTGTAGAAGGATATCCTCATAGAATCACTTTCTGAGTCGATTTATGTATGTCAGTCCGTCTGTCCATGTATTTTTGAGAACAAAGAACAGGTCGAATTTATTACCCAATTGACATGAATTTTACACAAATCAATCTATTGAAATTGGTAACAATCGGCCAATATTTGGATATAGCTCCCATTTATATGTTAGTCCGATTTTTTACTCTGCACCTAAATTGTAATATTAGTCCAAATAGGATGAAATATGGCACACGTGACCAAACTGAGATATAGCTATAGCTCCCTTAAGCCCAAGTATGAACTCCAAAATAACGATATTCTGGAACAAATGTCAAATACAGCTCAGAAATACCTCTGCCAAATTTTCGAGTTCGGTTCAAATTTTGGATATAACTCCTATATATATATCATTATACGATTTTAAACAATTGTACACCAAATGGTTAATATAAGCCCGAATTGAATGGATTTTGCCACATGAGTTGTTGAGTTAAAATAAAATAAATAACTATTTTTATTTAACATTTACAGGGTGTTTTTTTAAGCTAGATAGAACTTTAAATTGTAAAAACTAACACAAAAAATTAAATTTTGATGAAACTTTTTTTTATTTGTTTCAGTATACTCTGACAAATCATCATGAATAGACTCCCGCTTGAACAACGCTACGAAATTATCTTAATTTACTTTGAAAATCAGGCAAATGACCCGTTGTTTTATCGCAAAATTGTGTTCAGCGATGAGGCGCATTTTTGGCTTAACGGGTTTGTTAATAAGCAAAATTGCCGCATATGGATTGAGACCAATCCACAAGAGACCCTACAGACTCCATTACATCCAGAAAAATGCACCGTATGGTGCGGTTTTCACGCTGGTGGCATCATCGGAACTTATTTCCTTAAAATTGAGACCGGAGCTCGCGTTATGGTCAATGGAAATCGTTACCGCACCATGATCAATGATTTTTTTTTAAATATGGATGACATTGATCCGGAGCAGATGTGGTTTCAACAGGATGGCGTTACGTGCCATACGGCGAACGCAACCATCGACTTATTGAAATCAAAATTTGCGATAAGTTGATTTCGACAAGTGGACCATTGGCCTCAAAGGTCGTGCGCTGTGACACCTCTTGATTATTTCCTGTTGTGCTACGAGGTTTATGCTGATAAACCAGCAACAATTGACGCCTTGAAGACCAGCATTGTTTGTGTTATTGGTGACATACGGCCGGCAGTGCTCGTCCAGAATGCACTTCGTCAAGAACAGCCGCGGTGCCCATATGCCCGAAATCATTTTCAAATGTTAATGTCACGTATTGATCTTTCGAATAAAAAAATTTATTAAAATTTAATTTTTTTGTGTTATTTTTTACAATTTCCAGTTCTATTGGGCTTAAAAAAACACCCTTTATAATTTTCGTTTGATATTTTTAAAATGTAAAAAAAATACTGGCATAAATCAGATTTATGCTCTTCTTAAAGCTCAAGGTGTGGCATATAAATATGCATATATAAACTATATACATTTGCATACATTTTGCATATTTTTTGAATGCACCATATGTTTACCTTGTATTATTTAAATATAATGTTCAATAAAATGTAACATAGGCATATGGTGCTACCAAAAACCATCATACGGAGTGTAAAAAATTCCGGAGAAAATTTGTTGATGAATTAAATTAAAACAAAAATATTTCTCTTTTAAGTTTTCCAAATACATTTATTTTCAACATTCATATTTTCTTCTATTGTTTATCTTTTTTCCAAACATTTGAGATCACATTAATAACAACAACCAAAATGATTACATTGATTATTTCTATTTACAATTGTACAAAATAAATACAACTTTACACCATTTATTTATATTACAGTCTTTGCAAAAAAATATAGTATATTACATTTAAGGGTATATGATTTATCTACACACAAAAAAATTTCACTAAACTACAAACTATTTAGGTACACATTGATAAAAAAAACAACAATAAAAAAGCGAGTATAAAAAAACCCTCACAAAAAAATAACTTGAAACCCAAAAGTCACTGTGCTCAAGGAGGAGAAGGGGGAGGAGCAGTTATCAAAAAAATCACCTTAAATAAATTACAAGTCATGAGTTTGGTTTTGGTTTGTGTGTGGAGGTGTGTTGAGATTTTTTATTTCTATAAAAAAAATATGTTTTTTTTTTCTTAAAATTATAATTAATACTATTTTCTATTGTTGTTGTTGTTTGTATTATTAATTATTTATATTGGTCTAAATAAAAAAATAAAAAATAGGTATGGTGCTTTGGTATACAAAATAAAATTGGTAGAGTTGTAATAAATAAAATGTATTTTTTTCTTTATCCAAAAAAAAAATATATTTATTTTTTGTTTTGTTGTGGTATTTTTTACTAAATATATTCAGTGTGTGCTGCTATCGTGTGTTACTGTTGTTGTTGTTGTTGGCTGTTTATTATTACTGTTTTTTTTTTTTTTTTTTTGGGGTAGCAATAAATAATGATAACGATGACTGACTGACTGTGGCATGAACACGCCATAAAAAAGCCCAACAACCGTTTTTTTTTAATAAATTATTTTTTGTTGTCGCTTTGGCGGCTGGTTTTGTTGGCCGTTGCCAAACTGTTTCTCTTGCTCTCCATCTCTCTCTCATTTAAGGTTTTGGTTCCTCTTTGGTTGTGCAAGGGGCGTCCAAGAGACCCCTTCTTTTTTAGCCTTTTTGTGTTTCTTTGTTTTTTTTTTTTTTTTTCATTCATTTTTTTAATAAAATGTTGTTAAACTCCAAGTGCGTGATGACCTTCACTGGAATCCACTTCACTTTTGCGTTTCAATTGTTTTTTTTCGTTTTTCTTTGCTAACCAAAAAAAAAGACCCTTCGCCCAGTGTCTTTCCATAACGGGCTTGGTGTTTACTTCTCCGACTTCACATGACACGAAGTCCAGATTCCAACCATTTCCATGTGAGCCCACTAGCTGTTGCCTTGGCAAGGGTAGAACAAGAACAAAGACAAGCCATTGAATCTTGGCTAGGTTCCAATTCAAAGTGTTTTAAAGGGAAATCCATGATTCCTTCCCCCAAAGCACCGTTTAACGGCTCATGATTTCATCGATGGTAAAGCCCAGGCTGCGTTTGGGCTTAACAATGGCCAAGGAGGGAGTGGTGGTGGTGGCGGCCGCATTGGAGGCTGATAAATCCAAAATGGGTTGCTGGGAAAGGGGCTGCAAGAATTCTTCGCTGGAGTTGTTCAACGATTCAGGTTGACTTGTATTCAATTCCTGGGTTGAAGTTTCGCTTTTCAGGTCACCGCTGCTGTTCAGGCTGCTGTTGGCCAGCTGACCCTCACTGTGGCTCTGCAAATGGGCCTTGAGATTGGCACGCTGATTAAACGACCTATGGCAGATGGGACACTTGTGTGGTCCTTCCTCCAAATGGGTGATTTTGTGCACAGCCAAGGTGCGGGACTGGCAAAAGCCCTTGCCGCAGTCACCGCACTTGAATGGTTTCTCCTTGGAGTGGATGTAGCGATGATCACGCAAATGATCCTGGCGGCGGAAAGCCTTGCCACAAATGTCACAGGAATAGGGACGCTCATCGGTGTGGGTACGCTCATGGATCAACAAATTGTAGGACTTGGTGAAGTGACGATTGCAGTATTTGCAGATGAATTGCTTTTTGGGACGGGAACCGGCGGCATTTGAAGCTGCTCCCAGTTTCATGGGTGGCAAACCGGCACAGGCTCCCAAACGGGCAGCAGCAGCGGGATGGAGGCCATGTAGGGCTCCGGCGGGATAGGGGCGCATGCCATGCATGGCTGGATGACCAGCAGCGGCGGCATGGACATGGGCATGATGATGATGACCATGGGCATGGGCATGATGAGCATGTTGTTGATACAAAGCAGCATTGCGTATCCATTGATTCATGAGCAAAGCCTGATGCTGGGCGGCCAAGGGATCGGCAGCCACAGCGGCGGCATGTAAAAATTGATTGGCAGCAGGAGGATAAGGCATGGCCGGATGAACCTGTTGTTGTTGATGATGATGATGCTGTTGTTGTTGTTGCATTTGTAACCACAAGCGATGTTGATGCTGTTGTTGCTGTTGCATTTGGTTATCCATCATGGAAACATAGCTGCGGGAAGAGTTGGAGGCTGCAGATCTCAATTGTTCCATTTCATAGAGGGCACTGTCTTTGCTGCTGGGAACTGACGACGAAGACGCCAAACCGGTACTGTTTCTACGCATTGTAGAAATATCCGTCGGCGTATGGGGCGGTGTGAGAATGGGCGATAGACTGCTTTCGCGTTCTTCTTTGATATTCAAATAATCCGCTGAGAAATCTAAAATAAATTGATTTAAATTTACAAAATTAATCTCACATTTTTTAATCCAAAACAAATTGATAAAGAGTGGGAAGGGCAAGAAAGAGAGAGAAGGAGAGTCGGAAATGCTTATGTGCCGTCGGCATTTTGAAAACCTACCTTCACGGATGTTCAATTCATCATCGACGGTGATGTTGCTGATGGGTGAGGCAGAGGTTGAAGACATGTTTGTTGTTTTTATTTTTGGTATGTTTTGGTTTTTATTTGGTATTCCAATATTTGTTGTTGCTGCTGTTGTTTTTTTTTCGTTTTGATTTCAACACTTGGTTTTTCACTTTAAATTTTCTCCGTTAGTTTTCCGTTTGAAAATTTACGTAAATTTTGTTTTTATTTGTAAAATTTCGTTTTGTCAATTTTCCGAGTTTTAGTTAAATTTTCTTTTATTTTTTCCTAACTTAAACTTCTCTTTGGATTCTTGGTGTTGTGTACACTTCAAAGTGTTGTAGTGAACTGAATTCAAGTTAGTTCCTTACCCAAGACTCAATCTCTTGAAAATGTAAAAACTCTCTCTAGTAATAATAACAACAAATAGGCAAACACACAAGAGTCCCAAAACAAAACACCACCCTCATTGCTAAGGTAGGCACACACGCACTCACACACACACACATGCATGGCCAGAACAATGAACCATGCACACGCACAGGGAGTGTTTTTCCCAATGATAAAGAGCGTACAATACTGCTCCCTTGTGAATACACCACATTGAGAGGGAGAGAGAGTCATGGTGTGAGTGCAGATGCGAGAGGCTACTGATAATGAACAACAACGACGACAACACCAGTCGAACGACGACGATGAGTGGTAGTCGTGTGGTAGTGCCTGACTCTTTTTTGTTGAGTTAAATTACTACTGCTGTGCCTCTTATTTGTTGTGCTCAGTAATGGTGGTGGTCGTTGTTGTTGTTCTTCTCACTGTAAATACCTCACCACTACTGCTGTGGCTGACTGGCTTGCCGTTTTTGTTGTTATTGTTTCTCTTGCTGTGTGCGCGCACAACAGTGGCCAACGGTGTGTTGTGCTGTTGTTGTTTTTGCTTTATACAGCAGCCAAACAAATGTCCTATCAACATGGATGGCATGATTGGTGGTGGTGGTGTGTTAGTGTTGCTGTTGTTGTTTTATTCCCAGGAAACGATGATGGCCAATGAAACACGCCCACCTTAAATATTTTTTAAACACACCATTGGTTGGCTATTCTCAAATCTCCCCCCACCCCCACAAAATAAATGGATCTCTTGGCCATAACAGACATGGTTGGATGAATAAAATCAATTGTGTGTGGGGAGAGAGACTGCTGATAACGGAAAGAAAAAAATGTAGAAAAAAATGGTGCTGATGACGATGGTTCATCCCTCGACAACATAAAGAGAAGAAAAAAGCAGCTGCGACAGCAGCAGCAGCAACCGTTTAACCAGCCCCAGATGCAGCTGTGGAAGCAAAGAAGCAGCAGCAGCAAAGCGGAAACTGGTAAAAAGCTGCTGGTTGACGGCATGCTGCCGTTGCCGTTGTTTTTGCCACTATATTGGCGTCTAAGTGATGTTTGTCATGCAAAGGGTAGGCATGCATACAAAAAGGAGGACATTCTCCAAGGACTTCAGTGGTGGCAAGGATACTTAAACTCAACACTTAAATGGAAATAAGTAGAGGAAACTAAAATGGGGGAGTAAAGATGCCATACCAAAACCTCCCCCATATTTTTTTTTTTTTTTTTTTTTGGAGAAATTACCAGCAACCCCATTATTAGCTTTTGTCAGATTCCGAGCAAAAAGGAAAGGCAAAGTAAACATAATTTGATTTTATATGTTAATTGTTTATTTAAGCCTTGCAGGCTTAAAGGGCAACAAATACACATTTAAGCGAAAACAATTTCATTTAAAGATCCCATCAATGCGAACGAAGAAGACGATGAAAATCAAGTAATAAAGAGGAACATAAACTAAATTAACTGGCATAATAACATATTGCAGAGCAGAGTTTATTACAGTTTTTTTTATTTATATTGTTTATGAAGGGATTTGGCGTGGTTGTCATCAAAGGGAAATTTCCATTATGTACCAGAGTGGAAGTTAGATTTCGTGTGGAAATTGATTTAAGTTTTTGTAGATTAATTGTTGCAGATAAAAATGATGGGAAAAGTTGAAAATCACTTAGAGGGGTATTACACAATTATAAAAGGATAATTGAATAATTTTTATTTAAAAATGTCAAAATTACTTGTAAAGCATGTTTTAACATACATATTTTAATGCCAGATCTTAAGTTTTTAATCTCTTTTAAAAATGTAATAATATTTCCATTGGCCAGGATTTCTAAGCCAATCGAAAATGATAACTAAACGAAGGCAAACGCTCGAAGTCGAGTTAAATTGGGGTCGTCTTCTAGCTTTATAATATTATTTCGACAGCCTTTATGGATACTATACTATACTAAAATTAAAGTGTATTTTTGCTGCTCAATAAACAGATCAGAATTAAATACCAAAATATACAAAAGGTAAAAAAAACATTTGTCACGTCTGCAAATTATTATTATTATTATTATTTTTTTTTTTTTGCTTAAATTTTGCGATTTTGCTGATTAACATAAAATTGTTGCGATAATGTCATGTTTTTGTACCACTCGCCAAACAAAAGCAGGTGACTAGATTTGACATTCCATTTAAGGTAAATTTTTCCAAAAACGTATTTGTATGAAAAATGTCCTGTTTTATTCCAGTTGTCAATTCGAGTCACCATTCGAATAAATGAAAAAAAATATATAATTATTGAAAGCCAAAAGAAGTCTTTCTATTATGTTAAAACCAGACAATAAATGTGCTTAGGGAAATTTTGGGATACAAAAAAAAAATTGTTTATTGAACATTTGTTCGTTAGAAAAGTTTTCTTTATTTTAATTAAAAATTATTTTCATGAACTTAAACAAATTGATTTTAAAAGTGAATTCGTCATTAAAATCAATATTTTAGTGTGGCAAATCATAAATAAGCAAGTAAAAAAGTATCGATCGGTTTTGACGACAGATGTATACCCTCAGCCAATGTTCGAATTTTTAAAAATATTTTGACTTGTGTTATGAATATTCAAATTGTTGACTCTCCATGGAGTAGGTTCCGAAGGAATGGGCAATATTGTCAATTTCGTATCAGACCTAATATAATAATGATGATGTGTCAGGTTTGGACTAAATTGGTAACTTCCTTCACTTTACATGAGATATGTGATAATTTTCAGAAAATTGTAACATGTGCATGACGTACCAGATCGAAATAAAGCATTTTTATGCTTCATCTAATACAGATAAAAATATTGGTATGGCCAAATTTATGAGAAAATCGAACATTTATATCCAATTTATACGAAATCATAAATTCCATATTCATCTCATGTTTCTGGTTGAGAGGAATATTTAGATATGGCAAATTGTAAAGAAACGCTGATTTTTTATGATTATGAAAGATAAAAGTATTGAAAATTGTGATCCTTTGTCGGTGAGTTACCAGAAGGGGTTCGCAGATATATAGCAACTTCACAACACATCTTGTGTCACCAAAGATGTTTGTATGAGTGAAATGTGAAGAGAGTTGAATGCTCATTTCGCTTTCTTTGAGCGTTTTGTTTTTCAAAATCTTGAACCCCATGTGGGGGAGTTACCAGACGAAATGGTACGATCTCTACCATCTTTATAACATATCTTGTGTTGATGGAAATATTGAGATGTACCAAGTCTGGAATGGAATCTGATGTTGATTTCGCTTTTTAAGAGCTTCATGGATATTTAAATTTTGAGCGTTTGGGGGGAGGTACCGGAAGAAGAGGACCGATATATCCCATCTGCACAACAGATCTTTTGCTAGCAAAAATGTTTGTATGTGTGAAATATAAAGAGAACCTGATGCTATTTTCGGATTTTGGTTATTTAAAAATTTGACCCTTTGTGGGGGAGGTACCAGAAGGAATAGTCCGACCTCTACCGTCTTTATAACAGATCCTGTATTGATAGAAATATTCAGATGTACATATTCAGATTTACATGTTAATTTCGTGTTTTATGAGCTCAATGGATATTAAAAATTTCGACATGTTGTGGGGAGGTGCCAGAAGGAGTGGGCCGACTTACTCCATCTTAACAACAGACCTTGGGCTAAAAAATTATTGGGTTGTGTGCAATTTGAAGATAATCGGACTCTTACTTCACATTTTATAACTGCCTTTATAGCTGTAATAGCTGTAAAGACAAACGGACGGACATCGCTGGATCGACTGCAAATGTCCTGAAACGGATTTGGTCCAAAGAGACCTAGACTCGAAAACCGTTATTGCGACCGTATCAAATGATATATACCCTCTCTAGCCATATAGATATTTGGAATAGTGGTTTTCTTCCCCATTCAATTTCGATAGACATATAGAAACAGGCCAACATTCTTATTTTCCAATCAAATGTGACTTTTAAATTCAATGTTTTGACAGCCTACAGATAGTCAGTATTTTTATTATTTGGTAATTATTTTTTTGGTAATCAGTAAAATTTAGATTTATCCCCAAATATAAGTACTTGCGATTTCTCGTTTCTGGTGCACCAAATGTGAAATATAATATATATATATATATATATATATATATGTATATATATATATATATATATATATATATATATATATATATATATATATATATATATATATATATATATATATATATATATAGGAAGGGTAAAAGAGAAGCATTGGTATTATTATTTAATTTAATTTATTTTTATTTCATTCACTCTCACAACTTTTTTTAGAGAAAGGAATTAAATAGTTTTTTTTTTACTTTCAAGGAAGGTAAGGTCGAAATTGAAATAGACGTCTTAGTTCACAAACAAAAATGAAAAAAGTTATAAACCATATAATTGTCAATTACTCCTCATTAAATATACACCTTGAATTTATCTAAATATCACAAAAAAGTGGTCTGAGTGGGAGTCGAGTTTTTTTCACAACTCCGGGTTTGGTCCAACAAAATTTATTGACTCTGCATCACTGGTATCCTGCTTAGACCTTAGATAGCCATGTTGAATTTTTTATAATATATATGTGTGGTTTCCGGGGACGTACGCTGGAATGCCTATTGAAACCATACCGAGGGGAATTGCTAAACCTCAATTTTTCTTGCAAAATGTTTTAAAAATATCAGAAAATTACCACTGAGGATGGGAGAGGCTGGGCATCCAGCTACCCCTGGTATACCTAAGGATATTCTTTGATACAAATTTCTTTACAGATTCGAAATTATTCATAAAATCACCATAAACCAAAAAATCACTCATTTAAGTCAAATCAGTTGTGATTTTCTTAAAATAAGAATAGTAGAAATACTATAACCTTACTTCGGAATTCGATGTGTTTTTTAATATACCAAATTCCAAAATATAATCGATTGATAAAATGTACCTTCCTATAAAGAAATATATTTGTCGTGGAAGCTGATTGATATCTCAT